TGCAGGCCAAGGACCGAGAAATGCAGGCCAAGGATTCTTTACTTGAAGAATTGAAAGAAAAGCTCCGCGGGATTGAATCAGAGCGCGACTTTTTGAAAGGCATGCTGAATGCATGCAGTATCCTGGAAAAGTACGAGAAACGTTTCAAGGACAAGAATCTCTCGCGGACTCAAAACTGGAAGATGCATTTGGACCGCAACCCAGCATTAAAGGCACGACTGCAAGAATGTAACAAAAACATCGCCTGGCACGACAAGATTGTCGATATTTACAAGCACCTATCTGAAATCGTACACCAGGACACAAGCAGGCTTGGAGGCAGTCGATTCCTGGTGATGATCCGAAAGAATCTTCCGGAAATTGACGTGTGTTTTATCCAGGCGATTGCTGAGCAAATCTATGGTGAACACGTCAGAGTCAACGCGAAAGCAGATGAAGAGGATTAAAACCATATAGTTGCGCAAAATAATAAATAGTTTGATCATTATTTCTGTATTTTCACTTGCATATGTCAATGCCAGATACAGCGGAAATTTCTGCTGGAAACTAAAACGGTATTGTTCGGTGCTCTACACATACTACTCCTCTGGAATGGGTGTTGTTAAAAGTACATATTCGTAGATATTTTCAATACTCCATTTGGAGTTTGAACACTTCAATTTTTCCAGTATATCATCACCATCCAATTGGTTTAGTACCGTATCAATAGTGGAATTAACTAGTGGTGAATCATTGACATTAAAGCAGGTATTATCAGAGGGATAAAACTGAATTCTATCATCAGTTTCAATGTTCCTCAGCACATATCCGAATTGAATATCGAACCAGTATCTTAATGCTTGCTTTTTGTGATTCTCTTTGATGGTAAACTTCAATTCATCTAAATTTGTAAACAAGTGTCTCGACCAATGAATTGGTTTTGATTTTGGTCAGAACGAATATTTCTTGATATGATATTGTGAAAACGACCGTTGTTCTTGTCCAGCTTTCTTTCTGTTTGTTTTGTAGCTGTAAAAGTTGGTGGTAGGCTTTAGTACCGTCCATTCCACTGAAGATCCCTTGAATGTGCTTTCTGAATCTTAGTTTAACCTTTCTAACCCGTCCGACATCCAGATTTGTAATTGAACTAATCAATTGTTTGTACTAGTTTTCTCTTTCGTCTTGTATTTAATAGCAAATCGATATCTCTCGATACCATTTACTTCAAAAAGAACCTTGTACAGACCAACTGTGCTGTCATTTCCTTTAATCAACACAGCATTTCCATTCAAATAAATTTGGGTTTCTTCCAATATGTTTGACATTTCCAATGAACTTGTTTATCATTTGAAAAGAAATTAAATATTCAATTTTATCTTGGATTAAACTTATCAACTATCTATGATAGTGGCTGTGATTGAATATTGCATCTTTTATTTTCTAGACTAGATTTAAACAATATGTTGAATTTACCTTGCTCAAATCCGAGATCAAAGTACATCAACAATTTACTAATGGACACCATTTATCTCGATCCAAGAAATAATCATATCTATCAAGTTGTTGAAAAGCGTGTCAATAATTCGCTGTTGAAAGTAGCGTATAATTACGTTGGAAATGAAGAAGCGGTTGTGTTAGATGATGTTCCGGATTCAGTGTTTAGACTAGAAAACCCAATCGAGGTTAATCCATCGAAACTATTAAAAGGCAGAATATTGTCTTTGAAAGAAAAATGCCAGTCTATTATGCGGCATCGACATAAATCACTATAAAAGGATTAAAGAAATGATAGGCGATAGTTGCTATGAAACAAACGATACCATTTATTCACTACATTATGGGTTAGTTGTTCCTTTCAAAAAGCATTATCCAACTTGTGACAATGCGAAGGTTAATCTAGAAATGATGGGTTATCGAATCTTTGCAAACATAAAGATGCTGCCAAGAGTCATCGAGAAACAGCAATCATTACAGGAAAAGTTGTACAGAATTGTTATGAGCGGTGATGATGATTCTAATTCAGATGATGTGAAAGAAATTATCATGTAAACTATTCATCTTCAATGCCACTGTTGTATCCAGTAGTTGTTGGAAGAATCGATCCATTCCATCCTGCTCTCTTTCTTTGGAATTAGTTCTTGGATAAAACAGCAAGTCAATAACTTCAATGGGAATGGTTGGCTTCAACATATTTGATTCATCTTGTTTTATTGAAATAGTTGTATATCTGCCAAAGACTTGGATCAGGAAGCTAATACGTTATGTCAGTTTGTGTGGTATTGTTGGTCAAGTGTGTTGTATCGACCTCGTAATTGCTATCATTTGTTGTTTAATGGTTTTCTTAAGGAGCTTATTGTGGAACGATCGTGTGGTTCTAAACTGAGCACAATAACCTTTTCGTTGACATTTCTTGGAGCATGTCAAACAGACAAAATGAGGTGCGTTGAAGCATTGAATTAATCGTGTGGTTACTGTAGAAAAGCATATTTCGTATTGCGTGTTTTCATCATCAAGTCAAAGTGTGACGTTAATCTCATTCTTACTGTTTAATACAAGTAATGAAGAAATAATTGAAATTATGTTGATAATCCAATGAAAACTATTGGTATTCTTTGTTAAGAATTCGAACGACCCAAAACAAGGAATCCGAACGACTGAGATATTGCAATTATTGTTAACAATTCAAAAAAAGAAAAAGAGCGATTACAAAAGTACAAAAAGTCTGCCACACTGTGTAATTGCTTTTGTTCAACCTGTCAAACAAATAGTTGATTTAAATTGAATTTGAAATAAAACCGACTTGATATCAAATGAAAGACTTCAAGACAGTTGAAACTTGAGTGTTTTTTACAGAATAAAAGTTTTAGGATTGTTCAAAACAAGGAATGTTGATTGTTATATTTATCTTGACAAACCAAATTATACAAAAGTATTTCTATTTCAGATTAATTTAAAACAAGATTTAACTGGTATTTCTGTTGATTACACGAGTCACTCTAAACAATTAGCAGTACATTGGATAACAGGTCATTAGAAATGGTGTAATAACACCAATTGCTCCAATGGTTACAAACAATATCAGAAATTGGTTGAATTCAAAAAAGTTAAACAAGTCGATCAAGATTTGTATAATTGATTGACAATAGTAAGAATATGTCAAGATTAAAAGATTTGGTTGTATATATTGTAAATAGGAGCTTCGACTCCAAAACTTGCTTTATTTTTAAATGTTCAAATTGGCAAGACTCGTAAAAATAACCATTTCACCTTTTACTTGAGCTTCAACTTTGTCATCTTCACAAAAGAATGAAGGCTGAAAGGGAATTCGCTTGTTTCAGTTTCATTTTGACTTTCCCGATATGGTGATAAAGTTCCTTTTGAAAATGAAAACGTAAATCAGAAGTAGGTAAACTTTTTGTTTCATCGCTGTCTATCCATCTTCTACAGCGAGTACATTCACTGCGAATAGTTGTCCAAGGCAAAGTAGAATAAACAAACACAGGATAGTCATTCAGAAACCAACGATATCCAATGTATAAATGACACATCGTATAGTTCCATTTAAATGCTTTTAGAGTGTAGTCATTGAATTCTTTTTGATTTGGAAATCATCCTTTCAAGGCAACCAGGTCTTGTCCAATGAATTGCCTAGTTTGCAAATATTTTGGTAATGGACCATGAGGCGATTCTTGCCAGGTAATTCAGACT